TTAAATATCAGTACTTTTAGTTTTTATGCACCCACAAGCCATATAATAAGTCAAGTATGCGGTCAAAAATTAGCTAGCAATACGTTTGGTAATTATTATAATAACTAATGGTGAGTTATTAATGTTTTAAATACTGTTTTGATATATATTTGTTATTGTTGTTTATCATTTTCATCTTTGATGCATCAACCGTTGGTGGTGATTGCAGCAATATTAATTTGATTACAGGTTCCTATGCATATTTTGATTATACGAAATTATAACAAAATATGATGTTATAAATACAATGACTATATACCACATACTACGCAAAAATGTTACGTCATGTACTTAAATTTATCTTGAAAAAAACGTCTAACATACGTCTAAAACGCGTTTTTATAAAGACGTCTTCATTTAGACGTCTTTTAGCCTTAAGATCTAGACGTCTACAAGTGCGCCTTTTAGACCTCCTTAAAGACATCTTTAAAACGTCTTTTAAACGTCTTTGTGCTTACTGGGTATTAACAATTATAGTGATGAAGAGAAAATACTTCAGTTTAAGAAATATTATAATAATAAATAACTGGTTATTTATACTTTATATTATTCACATTTTTTTAGAAAAATATTGCTTTTAAATTATATATAAAAAAATATTAAAACAGAACAGTGTTGTGCTTTAATTTTTTTTTTGTTAAACTTAATAAGTTTAGCAAAAAATATAAATCACAACAGAAAAAAAAAATTAGATAAATAGAAGCTCAGAATTGTGGTTATAAATAATAAGTTGAATGAAAGTATGAAATTTATAAGCAATGTTTTTCTAAAAAGTAGTTAATGAGAGCAGTTTTAAATTTTGAGAATGACTTACATTTTTTACATGACAATATCAGTATTAAAATTTTAACAAAGAAATCGCTCGAAATTAAAATTTACCAAGAAATGTGCACTTAATTAAAATTAAAGAATTTGTATTAAGTTTTCAACTCAAGGTAAGTACTTTGAAAAGTTTTAAACCATAGGTTTCTACAACTAAATATTCATCTCTCTGGATCTTCAACAAAAATTTCCGTAGGTCGCTCCTCCGGAACATTTATCGCCTGTAAACGTTTCGGCTGTAGAAATTTATCGACATTAATTTTGAAAAAATTTTTATAACATTGAAACAAATCATTTACGCCGATAAAATTTACAGCCTGTAGGATTTTACGCCGATAAAAAGTTTTATAACACTGACCCCTGGTGATGTTTTTTTTGTTTTTTTAATGTTTTATGAAGTTTTAGCATTCTTAAAATCTTTTCTTTTGTGAGTGCATAATATCGTTAAGTTACATATGTTTGTATATAATCTTTATAAAACTTCGAAAGTGTTTTGTATTTTAAAATAATTAAAAAAAGTAAAAAAATAGCCGCTTTTGGTAGGAGTCGAACCTCTAGTTCCTTGTTCAGAAGTTCGCCGCCTTATCCACTCTAGCTACACTAGCATATCATCAAGTGTAGATTTTATAATAATGTAGTAATTTTTTTGAGGAAAAAAAAATGTTAGATCAAAATTAAGGAGAGGTTGACGCAATGTAATTTTCAAGTAAAAATCAAACTGTAAAAGGTGATAAATGTTTCAGTATGTTTAAACATATGCTTTAACATTACATAAGTTAAAGTTTACGTACGTTAGATGTTCGTTCACGTTTTCTTATAGCGCTGCGACTCTTTCTTGCCAATACCTCGGTTGCAATGGCTGCCAAGGGTTTCGTATACAAATACAAATAGTTTTAATAGTAGTGTCCAAGGGACACTACTATTAAAGCTATTAAGTTCGGCAATATTATATAGATATGATTGAAATTTGCGAAGAAAGTAAAAATCAAACTAGTTTCATTCTAAGTTATTGTATATAATTTTAAAATTTTGGATTAGAAGTGATGCAATGTTTATTTATTTTTAGTCTTTTAATTTCCGTATTTAATTATTTGCCCGGACTAATATAATAATCGTGTATAACCTAAATAAATAAGAAGAAATATAGCTTGACAGCGCAAAGTTATACAGTGTAAATTTGTCCTTTATTATTTTTTGCAGTGTAGAAATAACATCAAAAATGATAGAAAAACGTTGGAGGGCGTTTTTCTTACAAAATTTTGCAACATTGTTATTATAACGTTGACCTATGTTTCATATGTGCCATTATTCCAACGTGTAAAAAACGATAGAGTAAAGACGTTGGCTCAACGTCATTTTAGCTAAAATATAACGTTAGCCTAACGTCATTATAACGTCTTTTTTCTTCAAATTTAACGTTGCTTTTACGTCTTTCCGACGTCATTTAGCTAAAATGTAACGTTGTCACCACGTCATTTTACATCGTTGTAATAACGTTAGAAAAATGACGTTTTTTCGGTGTTTCATTTATAACATCATGCCAACGTCTTTCTAACGATACGAAATACGTTAGAACAACGTTGCTCCGATGTCATTTTTCTTATTGGGTTCTTGTTATATTAAAAGTTATATGATAAGTAACTTTCAATATAACAAGAACAATGTTATACTAATATGATTACAACATTGTTACATAACTGTAACAATATTGTTAAAGTTATATATGCTTAAAATAAAATAAAATTAGAATTTTTAAATTTGAGTCTAATAAATATATATTGAACCTATATGTATATCTATACTTTATATCTATATCTATGCTAAGTATAGATATAGATATAATATATAAGTATAGATGTAGATATAGACATAAGTATAAATTATAAATATAATATATTATAATATAATATAAAGTATACTTTATATTATATTATAATATATTATATTTATATCTATATTTATAATTTATAAATATAGATATAGGTATAAAATCATGTAACTTTTAATATTTATAAGCAGTAATTATAGCTATATTTTATAATATAAAGTATAGATCATCTATACTTTATATTATAAAATATAGCTATAATTATTGCTCATAAATATTAAAAGTTACATGATTTTATACCTATTTCTATATTTATATTAAATTTATATTAAAACTACATCTATTAGATGTAAATTTAATATAAATTTATATATATGACCTATATTGTAAAACTTAAAAATAAAAAGACTAATTTGATTTTTTTAAATACTATTTATTTATTACTTACTGTTTTACATAAACTATGTACTACAATATAAAATATAAAAAACGATCAATCTCATGTCTCAAGTCTTATGGCGCTTGAAATGCTTACTTTTGGTGTTTTTACGACATCTTATCGTTATCCGGGTGCCAACTCGGGCATTGTGTTGGCAAAACTACAGCGTATCGTCATAAACTTACCAAAGCTGGCTTGCCTATTCAAAATCGCATTGGCAACGAATGTTTTATCGCTTTTCAGCCGATGGCGGAAAGCCAACACAAAACAGGATGCCGGTCCTGCTTCAGCTACCCGGCAGCGGTAAGCTACATTAGAAATCACAAAGGGCCAACACCGGCTTTCCGGCGGCGGCTTTGCGCATCGCGGTCCGCTGAAAGCATGTTTGCTGGGTATGACCAATAGATAATATTAGGTGTTATTTCATTCTTTACCATATAAAAAACAAAGAAAAGTTAAATCGAAAGAAAAACAAAACTATTCACAAACATAATTACTTACATTCTTTAGAATACTTTAAAGTTGGGAAATTAAATCCTTCACATAATTCTTTATCTACTAGTAATTATTTAATAGAATAAATATAAACAAAAATATGAAACAACAAAATGTATAATTATAAATATAAGTGTAAAAAATTACAATATAAATCTAGGCAAAAATAATACCATAAACAGATTCAAAATATTACTTATTTAAAATAAAAAAAAAAAAAAAAGTTTTTTTGGTATGGTACTATAACATTATTATAAAATTCTAATAGTTTTTTTAATCATATAAAACAATTAAAATAGCAATGAGTATTGTAAAAATAAATGACCTCCAGTTACTTTAACTCTTTTAAGTCTGATCTTGTTCCAAGAATAATCGATTGGAAAATGATTACAGGCAGTTTGTTTGCATGAACACCAGTTGGACAAAAGAAACACCAATCTTTCACCTATTAAGATGGAATAAATGCCTCTGCTTTAACCCTGTTTAAAAAGAAAACAACAAAATCCCAAGTATGTAAACCCATTTTAAAAAAATTTCTAAAGAGACAGCATTTGTTTTAATTACATATATATATATATATATATATATATATATATATATATATATATATATATATATATATATATATATACTATATATATATATATATATATATATATATATATATATATATATATATATATATATATATATATATATATATATATATATATATATATATACATATATATATATATATATATATATATATATATATATATATATATATATATATATATATATATATATATATATATATATATATATATATATATATATATATATATATATATATATATATATATATATATATATATATATATATATATATATATATATATATATATATATATATATATATATATATATATATATATATATATATTTCTAATAGCAGCTTGCGGGGACTTTTTAAGCGATAAAATGCGACATTGCGGGGACTTGTGTCTTACGGGGACATAATCGTGTCCCCGAAAAGTTTTGAAGCTTATTTCATAAGTATATATATATATTTTTTTCATAAGTTAAAGTTATATGACCATATTAGGCTCTGTAAACAATAGTTATTAGTTAAAATTTGATAATTTATGCAAAAATTTCCCATGAAGCAAAAAGATTGAAATTTCCACATGTTTAAGTCATCGAAAATCTGAATGCGTTTAAAATTAACAATGCGGGGACTTATATATTTTGTTGAATTTCTTGTGGATTCTTATAGTTATTTAAGTTTTTTTAAAGTAAATCGTTTACTTTAGCTTGATTACATTGAATTATAAGTTTTAAAGTTTATAGAATGGTGTATTAGGTATATAACAAGTAAAAAAATTTTTAGAGCAAAATTTTTCTTATTTGCGTTTTTTTAGTCATATCATAGAGATATTTTTGCGCTTTTTAATAATAAATTTTTCATTATTATTAATATAATCTTAGAAAAAATTTCTAATTAAACATGGAATCTGAGGATTCAATAGTGTTTGACGACTTGAACATTTCAGAGGTTTGTAAATGGTTACATTTGTATATTTTGCATGAATCAATTTTTGCTAATTTAGTTTTTTATTGTCATAAATTGTTTGTAAAAGTATTTGTTTATATTATTCTTAATTATGTATTAAACAAGACTTGCAAATAGATTTAATTGTATATATGTGTTGTAAACTTATTTTACTCATGTACATAAATACATTTACAAAATAGAGTATGTAAATCACAACTTTCTACAATAATTTGAATAGGAAATTGTTGGAGACAGTGATTGTGGTTTAGATAGTTGTGAAAGTTTAAAGTATGTTTCTAAAATAGTAAGTCTTACCTTTATTATACTTTATTGATTATTAACAGCATTTTGGCTAAATAAATTGGATAATTTCCAAATATAAATATTGTATACCAATAGAGTTCCTTGCACATCCAAGACGTAAGTCTGCATGATGAATATATAGATTATAAAATGGAAGAAAAGTTTTCTGAAAGTGAGGGAGAGTTTTTTGATTTTGTTTTGGAGAAGGTTTTCGATGCTGAATCTTTAAAGGTATATTTAATGCTTTATTTGTAACAGAATTGTGAGTTGTAGAAGAATTATATAGTGTAAAAATTATTATTAAAGTTAACTATTTTGATTGATCACTTTACTTAGATTCCTGCCATAAAAAAAGTAGATGACTTTATTGGGGTCCAAAGAGTAGATGACTGTAATGCTGAGGTAAAATTATTTACATTTAGCATATTTCTTAAACTTATTTTGTTTGTTATTTTAAAGTTAGTTTATCTGTTTAGGGTTTTGTTATGAAAGAGGTAGAATACAAAGAGAAACTTACAGGAAAAGTAACCTTTGCTATATTTATAAACATAAGAAATTATTTTATTTTCTATTTTTATTTCTATAAGTGCTAAACAAATGTTAGATTTCTTTTTTTCTTCTTTTAGAGGTTATCAGATAATAAAAGACCATCTAGACTCTGCATATTTTGTGGCCAAATGAAACAAAAGCTAAGTAGACATTTAAAAAATAAGCATGGAAAAGAGCCTCTGGTTGTTGAGGCTGTGAATCAGCCAAAGTTAGTTAGTAAAAAACTCTTTGCTAAAATAAGAAGAGAAGGAATATTAATTTACAATAAAAGTCAGTCTTCCACTGATAATCCTATATATCAACGTGAAAAAAGTGGCACCAAATATAAAAATTTAATGCGATGCAGTGCTTGCAACAGTTTCATAAGCAAGAGGTTCTTCACCAGGCATGCTCAAAAGTGTTCACTTAGTACAATTAATGCAGTTGAACCAATTCCAGTTTCTACTGAATCGTTAGATATCCCCAAGTCGCTAGATCTTGACCCAGGTTTTGTAAGGAATGTTTTAGGAAAAATTAGAAATGATGAGATTGGTAAACTATGCTGCACTGACGAAAATATTGTATACATTGGTTCTAAGTTGTATTGGAAACTTCACAAAAAAGAGGATAAAGCGGCAGAAGTTTTTCGATCTGTAAGGGGAGATATGCGGCGACTTGCAAATTGCTATAATATTTTTAAGCAGCTGGATGGTATACATGCTTTATATTCCAACTCTCTAGATATGTTTAATCGGAGTAATTTTGAGCAACTTTCTGAGGCCATAGAATTGTATACAAAAAGAGAAGATTTGTCTCTTAAAGCAGGCTTAAAACAAAACTTGTATTATCTTATCAAAAAATCTGCAACTCTTGTGCAGTATTCATTTTACTCAAGGAAGAAAGATGATGAAGCTGCTGAGATTTCCAAATTTATTCAATCTTTTAAGGGTTGGCAGGATTATCTATTTGGTGATGCAACATACCATTTAAATAAAAAACGACAAATTAATTTAAGAAAACCATCAAGACTTCCACAAGAAGATGATTTACTTATTGTTAAAAATCACGTAATAGAGCTAATGAGTTCAATCTGCAGTAAATTTCATTTTGATGATGAAAGCAGTTATAAAAAGCTTAGAAATGCTGCATGTGCACGCATAACTTTATTAAATGGCAGAAGAGGTGGTGAACCTGCTCGAATTTTGTTAGCAGATTGGTTGCAAGGAGAAAATGATGAATGGATTGATAAACAAAGACTGAAAAAACTTGACAGTTTAGACCGCATTTTAGTGAAGAGTATGAAAGTTATTTACATGACTGGAAAAGGTAATAACCATCTAGTACCAGTAATTATTCCAGGAGACACAATTCTTGCAATGAAAAAACTTTCTAACGAATGTTACCGTAAAGTTGGTCGCGTTCTTGCAAGTAATAAGTTTATATTTGCAAGCTCAAAAGGATCTGAAAATCATGTTTCAGGGTGGCATGTTGTGAACAAAATTTGTTCAAAGTTAGTATTAAAATCACCAAAGGACATAATTGCCACCAAAAATCGGCATAGGATTAGCACACTTTTTGCATCTCTTGATGTAGAAGAAAAAGATAAAGAGTTATTTTACTCCCATATGGGACACTCTGAAAAAATGAATCAAGACTTTTATCAGGCTCCATTGGCATTATTGGAATTAACACGTGTTGGGAAGCAACTAATGAAAATTGATGCTGGTATGTATTTTTTGTATTAGTTTCTGGCGTATTCATAAGTACTTAAAAGTTAATTTGAGTACATTAACAAATCTTTTGATTTTTATGTTCTACTTATATTTTGTAAAGCTTAATTGTCCAAAATTTTTACTAAGTATAAAGGTGTTTAAAAAGAGTTTTTAGGCCTTACCTAATTTTTTTTATTTATAAAATTACAGTTTTTATTTATAAAATTACACAAAATGAACACAAAATATATTAAACTTTGTTTTGTTAAATTTACTTTAGGACAATCTGATGTGATACAGGATCTGCCTACAAAAGGTATCTGCTTTTTAATTTTTTTTTTTTAGTTAAAGTGTGCTTTACAGACAACGACTAATTTTTATTGTATTATAAAATATCTAGAATCTTATAATGTTATTGATAAAGAATCTGATGAGAATGTTGTTGATAAAGAATCTGATGAGAATATTGTTAAGGAAAATGACTCTCACACTTTAACTTTAAAAGGTTATCTATTTCAACTTTTAAAAAAGTTGTATGATATTTATAATAAATTTAAATATTTGTTTTATATTCTAAAAGATCTATATCTAGGTAGTGGTGTTTTTGGCATTAAGGAGAAAGTTGGTGATTTTCCTCTTAAGAAAATTATGGTTGATAATCCAACTTTAAAAAATAAATGTTCATCATCTATATCAGGTGACTTTTAAAACTTAAAATTTTTATTTTTCAATATTTAATTAATCTTTAGTATTATCATAAAAACCATAACTTATCATTTAACTTTTAGATGAACAAGAAGAAATATCAGTAAAGACAATTGAGTCAAATATTGGTGCTAATTTCACTAAAGTTTTTAACGGTTTAAACCTAAAAGTTTATCCAAAAAGGTCACTCAAAAAAGGTAATTTTTTTTTTTACAGCATATTAATAAAAAATATTTATTAGGCTATATTTTAAAAAAATTAATGATATAATTTGTAATATACTTTTAGTTAATTATGCAAATGTAGAAAATAATGAAGAAAAGGTTCAAGAAAGTGAATCTGATTACACTAATGAAAGCCAAGATGAGGACAGTGAAAATTTTGATTTAGATGAAAAACGAGATCTTAGTTCCAGTATTTTTATTTTACTCAAACTTACAAAAACTTTGTTACATTTATTTAAAATTAGAAAAGTATTTTTTCTTTAAACAAGTTCAGTTTTACCAATACAATATCTTTTAGAATCAAAACCAAGAAAGTGGAGTGTAAAGCAGGCTGAAGCTTTGAATCGTTACTTTGGGGATTTTATCTGCGGAAGAATTTCTGATTGGCCTAGTAAGTAATTTTTACCATTCCAAAAAAATGTATGATTATGAATTAAGTTGACGACTAATTTTTAGGTTGTTTTTCAATTATTTTTGACATTAATCACTTTTGGATAAAAAGTAAGTTTCAAGGTTATTATAAAACACTCTAAAGCTATTGATACCACCATTTCTTCTCATAGTCTAAGAATCTGTAATCAGTTTCAGCAATATTTAAATACTGTAAATCTTTTTCTAGCTCGCAAAGAAATAGAAGGTTTTCGAATAAAAAATGCAATTGATTTTCCTTACTCGAAAATCCGCTCCAAATTAGTCAATGATCGCGAGAAAAACAGACGACAGATAAGTATAAGGGCCAAACTTTCGGATAAACGATGCAAAGACATGAACATGTAGATTGTTACTCATGTAATAAAAGTATTTATTTTGGCAATTTGTTTCATTTTTTGTTGCCCTATTCACTTTTGATATAGTACAAAATTGTACCTTTTTTTATTCTTTATTATACAGTTTATTAAAGTTTGAGCGCTTAAACCACTGTTTTTTTATTTTTATTAAAGCGCTACTTATTAGGCTTTTTAGAAGATGTCCCCGTAATGTTCGCAATAGGCTTAAAAAACAATGCGGGGACACGAAATGCATTAAAATTTTTAAAACTCTTAGATTTAGTCTGTTCTTAAAAATCATGTTAAAACACACTTTAGTTTATTATTTACTGTTATAACTTGATCGAAAAATCAGTTTTATTTCAATATCAAAAAATGTCCCGAAATGTACAAAATTTTATATGTCCCCGCAATGTACCTAGAAGTAGTATATATATATATATATATATATATATATATATATACATATTATCTATATATATATATATATATATATATATATATATATATATAATATATATATATATATATATATATAAATATTATATATATATATATATATATTTATAATATATATATATATGTTTATATATATATATATATATATATATATACATGTATATATTATATATATATATATATATATATATATATATACATACATATATATATAATATATATATATATATATATATATATATATATGTTTATATATATTTTATATGTATATATATATATATATATATATATATATATATATATATATATATGTTTTTATATATATATATATACATATATATATATACATATTATATATATATATATATATATATATATATATATATATATATATATATATATATATATATATATATATATATATATATATATATATATATATATATATATATATATATATCTATATATATATATATATATATATATATATATATATATATATATATATATATATATATATATATATTTATATATATAAATATATATAAATATTATTATTATATATATATATATATATATATATATATATATATATATATATATATATATATATATATATATATATATGTATATATATATGTATATATATGCATATATATATATATATATTTATATATATATATATATATATATATATTTACGTATATATTTATATATTTATATATATATATATATATATATATATATATATATACATATATATATATATATATATATATATATATATATATATATATATATATATATATATATATATATATATATATATATATATATATATATATATATATATATATATATATATATATAGATAGTATATATATATATATATATATATATATATATATATATATATATATATATATATATAGATATATATGTATACATATATATATATATATATACATATATATATATATATATATATATATATATATATATATATATATATATATATATATATATATATATATATATATATATATATATATATATATATATATATATATATATATATATATATATATATATATATATATATATATATATATATATATATATATATATTCTCTTGCATGTCTCTTGCATGGCATCAAAAAAAGTTTCCCATAAACTGAAGTTTTAAAGAGCGCGTATAAATAAATTTTAAAATAAATTTTTTTTTTTTAATTGATAGACTGCCTGGCCAAAGCAAACCCTCAGTCGATGTAGCCGCACTCTCTTGCGAGTCAGGCTATTTGTCAGTCGTTGTAGCAGCACTCCCTTGCGAGTCAGGCTATTTGTCAGTCGATGTAGCAGCATTCCTTTGCGAGTCACGCTATTTGTCAGTCGATGTAGCAGCACTCAGTTGCGAGTCAGGCTATAAGATAGTCGATGTAGCAACATTTACGCATGTTTTAAAATTGTTTTTTATTAAATTAATAACAAAAACACCACTAATTAAAAAAAACTTTCTAGTCGTTATAATTGTGTTTTTTTAAAAATTTTTAAAAAAACAATTAAATTTAATGTACTTCCGCATAAATTAATTGCTTTGACAATTCGATGACAATCAAAAACAGCTTAAGAGACGAGGTAATTAAAATTGTAGTCGTAAGAGACTTTTTTTACATTAAAACGCTCTTTCGACTACACTATATGGGTATATAAATATATATATATATATATATATATATATATATATATATATATATATATATATATATATATATATATATATATATATATATATATATATATATGTATATATATATGTATATATATATATATATATATATATATATATATATATATATATATATATATATATATATATATATATATATACATATATACAAATATCTATAAGTTTGTAAATCAGCTTAAAGCGGACATATATGTATAAAAAATCCATCTTAAAACGGACCCTTTCGTAAAGCGGACAATTAGCTGTTAGCTTTTGGTTTTGCGATTAAATTTCTGCAAAGTTACTTGATATAAGTTTTTAAATAATTGGTTATAGTTTTAAAATTGTTTATAAGGTAAAAAAAAATCAAAAAATAGCGATTAGTTGGTTGATTTCTTCAATTTTTTCATATTCTTTTTTTATCAGTGTATATTTCTTAATTGTGAAAACGTGTCTATAAACAAGCATTTTTAAAAATCTTGTTATTCATAATTTTTTTGAAATTTTTTATTTGTATTTAACTTATAGCTGTTAATAAATGATATATATTTGCTAAAGTTTAGTAGTACATTGTTTAGAGCAATAATTTGATATTTTGTAAAGTGTATATATTATACAACATATACAATAAATTTTTATCTTAGAAAACAGTTTTTACTATTTTTGTAAAACATTTTTGATTTGAAGATTTAATAGTTTGCAAGTTATTTATTAATTTAGTTAATACTATTTTTATTATTGTTATTATTAATGTTAACATTTAAGTTATTAAGAACGTAAATTTTTGTTTATTAGGTTTTTTATTTACATTTTTATAAATGTCTGCTTTGTGTTAATTTTTTACGCATTACTTATTATATAAAGAATTGTTATTGTTTGCAAATATACGAAGTTTATCATTAGAAATTAAAACGAAGTAATATTGTGTTTTGTTTTTGTTAGTTAACTTTGTTATAATCAACTTTTTATAACTGAAATAAAAAGTATAATCAATAAATATATATATATAAATTTTTTTTGGCTGTTTCTTTTCTTAAAAGGCTGTTTTACGTTTGTTTTTAACGCACTTAATTTTTAAATATTCTTATATATACTTATTCAATAAACCGAAGATTATTTTCACATTAAAAAAGAAACAGCGAAATTAATCAATTATTTTATTTATGTGTTAATATTTTTTAAATATTTTTATAAAAAGAAGAAACACAAGGTATATTTTACACATGTATATCCCCGTTTTACGTTCAATTTTAACATAAAACTGAACGTTGAATATAATGAATGACTTTTATAGCTTTATTTTTTTTTAATAATAATTTTTTATGAAATAAAAATTAAAATCATTCATTAATTATTTATGTATTTTTTAGATTTTGATATTATTCATGTATTATTAGAATTTTTTCGAAGACCGTTTTACGTTTGTTTTTAACGCACTTACGTGATTTTAATTTGTACTTCTATATACTTATTCAATAAACCACAATTTTTTTTTAACATTAAAAAAATCTGCATATTTTAAAATAGTTAATTTTTTTATTTTAATTATGTGTGTGAATATTTTTATGCTTTTATAAAAAAATTAGAAAAAAAAAAGTTATACTTTATATATGCATATGTCCGTTTTACGTTGAGTTTTAACGAAAAATTGTTTTTCATTCGTTTCAATTATTATTAAAAAGCTTTCGAATATTTTCGATCTTTTTTTTTTTTTTAACTTTCAATGAGGCTGCAAGCAACCACTATTAAAGTTGGAGGTTAGTCGAAGAAATATGAAAAAGGTTATAGAGCTAAATAAGAGCAGCTAAAGTGATGGATCCAAGGGAGGGGTGATAATAATATTTTCTAAGTGGCTCTTTTTAAACACAAATAGCTTACTATAGAGAATGCTATTTACATTTAAAAAGTAATACAATCTTTTATATATAATGTGTTCTAATAACTTTGAAAAGCATAAAAGTATGGAGATAATTAATTCCAATTTTCTCAAATCATGTAGAGCCTTGTTCTTAAACGTTGAAGAACCATATTAATAAATGATGAAAAATGTTTTCTCAAAAAATGCCGAAAAACTTTTACAATAATTTTATTTAAGTCTTAAGGTTTTAAAAAATTTATGCAATAAACAACGCCAACCTAAGAAAAAACTTTAGATGAGCAAAATTTTCATACATTGCAAGTAGGTAGGGTAAAACGGAACTGTTAGAGACTAGCAGTTTTCCTAAGTTATGAAAATGAAAAAATGAACGCTATCTATTATTTGAACATGTTCGAACATTACTCTCTCAAAAAAATCACGTATCTGCATAAACTACCTATACTCCAAAATAAAAAAGGCAATAAAAAATAAAATAAGGATATATTTTTCTTTTTTAAATAAAGCAAATAACAACTCAGCTTAAAAAAAAAAATGATTGCAAATAGCTAGAAATAATTGTAGTAATACAGTTAATTATATAAAGAACTTGCGGTCCAGGGGCGTGTACAGGAAGTTTTTTGGGAAAGTCCAAAAATAACTATGCCCCTCCGCCTCCCTATTTTTAAGGGAGGGGGACCAAGTTTTGACCGGATTGAGTGTATTTTATAAAATGTTTTTATTATTTAATTGACATTGATAACATTGATAAAATGGTCATTAAAGCTCAAAATACGATTTTTGCAAACTAAAAAAATTATTTCTTGAGAATACTCAGTTGTCGTAATAATATATACAGGTTATACTTTTTTAATACAAGATTTTGCTACACAAAAAAACTTATTGCATTAATCTGACTATAAAAATAGCTGTTTAACAAAAAGCAGCCAAGACATTTTTTGAAGTTATACTTTTATTATACTTGAATTTTATTTAAAACAATTCAT